AATCGCAGCAATAGAGATAGAGCTTCCGCTGCCAACGTTTTGTCAGTAGAGCTAATTAAAACAACCTACAAAAGTTTGATCATTAATGTGCTCTAATCCTTGAGTAAAAGTATGAAACTAAAAACAAAAAATCTAAATTCTGTTCAAACAAACAGTTTGTTGTGGTCGTTAAGGTTAAATAAAAATTATCTAAATTACGAAGCCGTGTTGAACGGTTTTAAACACAACACTGGAATATTGAATTCGCGTTATGCATACGTTGCCTTAATGCATCAAAAGTTAAATGTCGAGCTAATTTTAGCTTCGCTTCCCGGTACGCCGTCTCTCGCGGTATGTTCAGTTTTGCAAAAACTATGTGTTGATAATGAAGACGTTTGTCATCACTCAATGAGCAAGTGAATCATGGGTCTTATGTCATCGTGGCCCAGGCGTGAAGCTACTCTCATTGTGTCCCCATTTAAGTTCGTGTGGATGACTATACAAAGGTATTTGGAGCGACCGGCTGTACAAACTGCAGTTAAAAATAAACTTACCGTACAAGGTTCAAGGCAGAGTGAAATATTTTGCAAGCTCTGGAGAGTTTATTATTAATATGTCAATTTGTACACCCTCTTTAGCCAGAAATTTTTGTAATCTAAAAAATGAAAACGTTGACGAGACATGAGTGAAGAGTTATTTAATACAATGACGGGTTCTCCTCATGGTTCCTCGTTTATAAAGATGATTTTGAGAAATGGCTGTTGGTTAAAAACTTTGTAGTTAGCATTAGAGCGAATATTCAATAGAGTTATTGATAAGCCTTAAACTAAATATGGTAACGTTATAGTAAGGTCTGATTTTTTTATTTTTTTTATTTGAAAATCACACTTGATTTATATTTGTTTACAAGTTCTCCATTCGCCAAACTGTTCTAACTCAATTTATAATAACCTAAGTACTTAAATAATAGTATTAATTATTAATAGTAGTAGTAATTATTACAGCTTTAGAGCGCCTAAGGACTCAGTCATGGTCAGAAGAAGCTTGTTGATAGACAAGATCAATAGTATCTTGAATGGTGTAATGTACGGCACATAATCATAAATATTCCCAGTATTTATAAATGTCTGATACTTACAGATACTATAGGCATCATGGGTTTATATTCTATCTAAATCTAAGATCTAGATCAACTTGAATTTCAACGAAGGAGTACAGAAGTTATTTTGAGTACAGACGGTCAGACAAAATGTTGTGTAATTATTACATTGTATTGAGCAGTATTGAGCTTTCTTTAAAGACTTGGTTTATTAGGCTCCGATGACCGCAAGGGTTTTCTTTCGATTTCTTAACAACTTTGTATTATAATATACTAGCTGTTGGATATCGTATCAATGTTTAAGTTCAATCGGTGCAAACTTTTTGAGTTTTTAAAGCGTTCACAAACCAACTTAACATTTTATATAAAACCTATGATGCTGGAGAGTTTTAAAATCTCCATCAAAAAGTTTTAGATCTGGAATTTTCGAGTTAAAGAACGAGCCTCGCGGTGGACCGGTAACTATAGTCGACAACAACGAATTGAATGCGGTAGTGAATGCGGATCCAACTCAATCCACGGCTGAATTTGCTTCGGGCTTTAGAATTAGTGTCAGAACCATATTGAAGCACTTACGTCCAACCGCAAAGATAAAAAAGCTAAATAAGTGGGTGCCACACGAAGTAAGTGACTATCAGCGAGCATATGCTGGCATAGTACCACTAAACCGGCATAGAAACGCGGGAATCGGGAGGTAATCGGAAATTTAATTGTTACCTTTTTGTTACCCTCTTCTGTGCGGAAATCCCCTCGGATACCATCCACCGGTGGGATGGTTATGTCGGTGTCGAACTGACCAAAAACAGCACTCCGTCTCGGGTACCAGTTGCCGGGGAACCAGGTGTACCCTAGAAAGGAAATCCCTAGTACCCCGTTGTACCTCGGGCCATCTACGGCGTGTAGATGACACCCTGTTTCCACATGCCCCCTTTGAGCTCCCGAAAGGGCGCGCACGCTTCTGCTAGGGTGACAGATGGCCTCATCTACCACCCCCAGGCCTGCGCTTATGAAGGACGGAGGTCGTTCTGCTACTTCCGGCGCCTCAGTCGTCTGAGGTACTTGGCCCGTTCCCGGGCCTGGCGGATTTGTACATTACAGCTAAAAAGCAAAGCAATTCTTGGTAATAGACACCTGCCGTCAATGTTGTGTCACGGCAGATGTTTAATCGCTAGACCATCGCAAAGCTACAAGAGTTACAGCTAGAAGCTCTCCATCACCCACCGCAACCACCGGACCTTGCCCCAACAGATGTCTACTTTTTTTAAATTTAGAAAGTATATTGAGTGTAAAACAATTCAACACCCAAGTGGCAGTTCAAAACGCGAAAATAGCCTAAATTTTTAATATTTAAATTTACGTACAAATCTCCAACTTCATAGGTAAAGATCTAATATAGCCTAAAGATTGCGATGAAAGTTTGTTTGGGAGACTAGTGATGTCTTAATTGTATTCGGGTGAGTCTTGGTACACATTTCAATAAGACGTTGGAATAGGACAGTCTACTTTTTTAAAATTATAAAGTAAAAATACTTTATAACTTTATTATATGTTTTTGTTTTAAGAAGTTGCGCGTGTAACATACGTGTTCAGTGCTTTTCCGCCTTTAGAGAATTACACGTTATGTGCACCGGTGACCCAATGACCAGCAGTGATGTGTTCCGGTAATAAATTATGATTAGTGTTGCCCGTACAGGAATAGCGGACGCCGTGGAAATATCGTCCCGTCGACAATTTGTGACTCATTGTTTAAGTTCAAACTGCTATTATATAATTATATCCTTGGTGGTAGAGTGCATACAGAAGATATTGAGGATGTTTTGTGAGTTTGTGTATATTTTTTAATTTCAGGGACCTAAAGTACTCAGTCTTAAATAAATTGTTCGTCCCGGTTTTAACGGATTGAATACGTTATCACATTGAATTGACACAGGAAATGTGTCTATTTTAAATTATTCATCATCATCATCATCAACAGCTTTTAATAGTCCACTGCTGGAATCTCCTTAGAAAAGAGGTTTTGGCCTACTATGCCACACTGGTCAAACAATTGTATAACTGAATTAAATCTTTTATCAATAAAAATAATTAATTGGCAAAATAAATATGTACGCAGTTAGGCCTTCTCTAGTCCTATGCAAACGGAGCTAGTGTATTCCCCAATATGTTATTAATATTTGCAACTTTACAATAAACAGAAATAAAGATAAAAAATGTATGATACATGAAACTACTTCGTCAAAAATTAAATTAAACATGTCAGAAAGGATTAGAATGTTCAATCTATTGCATAATCTGTTTAATAATTACATGTATTAAAGATCACATGCTCCGAAGTGTCTCAGACTTGGTCCAGTCCTTGCCGCAGTGCCCGCTTCCAAGGGGCGTATCGAATGATATTAACCAATTCAGACTAATTGCTGACTGGTTTTTATGTCTGGTCATATCTAGGACACTGTTTCTTAAACTGTGGCTTACTAAAACCATTTTTTAGTGTGTGTTCAATGTAAATTTTGCAAAGGGTTTTGGCTGCTTTTAGGGTTCTGCACCTCAAAAGGTAAAAAACGGAACCCTTAAAGGATCACACTTTGTTGTCCGACTGTCTGTCTGTTAAGACCCTTTACTTTGGGAACGCGTAGAGGTATCGAATTCATATTAAAACCATATACTCAGGTCTATAGTCCCTTGAAGCTAACATAAAAAAGATACGATACAACAGATACAAAAAAAAGCATATTTCGACACTTACAAGGGAATCAAAATTCATACGGTACTTCTCGTTGACCTAGAACTATGAAATTTGGCAAGTATCATCGTCCTATATTATACTAGCTGACCCGCGCAACTTCGTCTGCGTCTCTCAATAGTAATAAATTGTCTCCGTTTTTGAAACATTCTTCATTGGTGCTCCGCTCCTATTGGTCTTAGCGTGATGATAAATAGCCTATAGCCTTCCTCGATAAATGGACTATCTAACACTGAAAGAATTTTTCAAATCGGACCAGTAGTTCCTGAGATTAGCGCGTTCAAACAAACAAACAAACAAACAAACTCTTCAGCTTTATAATATTAGTATAGAAGTGCAGGGTAAACTCTGAAAACTATATATTTGTAATTAAATCATAAAAAAATTGTCTTTATTCAAAGTACGTAATCAATCATCGAGGTAAAATTTCGCTTATAAGCGAGTTCGACTCGCACTTGTCTGGTTTTTTTTTTGTGGCCAGCCAGCCTGCCTGATGTAAACCCCTCCTTGGGACACAAGTTGCTGGCCTTTGAGTGGTCTCTCAAATTGGAAGGGAAGAGGGGATTTTGCTTCCAGTAACCTCACTCACTCAGAGTGAAATGTAACGAAAGAATTGCCTAACATCGGCTTTCTATGGTATGTGCGTCCTGATTGGAGACGCCACTAGAACAGGAGCCAACGATGAAGTATTTTTGCAATATTCTCTCTCATAGGTCTTTGCTTGGTCTAGTGGTTACTGATCCTGAATGCTAAGTCAGAGGGTGTTTGATTACCGATATTATTCTCGAACCAGAAAAAATATTGTGTGAAACGTACGATCATTTGTTCTGTGCCTAGGTGTAATATAGTATCGGGGTTTAGTGGGTTTAGACCGGTTCTCCGGGAGTCCCACACACGCCCTGTGTTTCCCAAACGGAGATTATGGTGCGAAAAGCATTCCGCGCGTGAAAAAAAATGGCGTAATATAGTATAATATGTATGTATTTAGAAATATATAAGTACCTATATTTAGGAGCAGTCTCGGTACCATAATACAGGCTTGTATGGAATCAGACGGTGTGAGATGTGTGACGTTTGAGGTTAATATCAAAAATAAATAGGTCTATTTTTTTACCGTTTAAAGTTTGAGGTAGTATGTTCAATATGAGAACGTTCGTGCAGGCTAATTACAAGGTGTAAATGTCAAGGGCGGGTGTGACGGGGGCTAATCAACGGGTACGTCGATATCTGAGCTAATACTATGATGTGTAATTACGTGCGCTGTGACTTGCAGCCGCCGCAGCGGGCGTGTGCCGCACGAGATCGGCGCTTAGAGCTTTTGCATTACTATATTTACTTATCAGGATATACTAACATTGTAGAATTGTTTGCTAGCAATTTATATTTGCGATATTAATCGTTTGTTCATGATCTTGTATTTTGTTTTGTAACTAAATCTAAAATTAATTTAATGAATTAAACACATTAATAGTACTTCTTAATCTTTTACAATAATATAACGACACTAAAATGAGTCTTCTGAGTTTTGGTGTATTGCACATTATACAACACGTTTGGCTCCTTGGTAGTTAAATCTACATTAATTATTAAAAAGTGGGTTTGTTTGGTTAAAAGCGCTAATCGCAGGCACTACTGGAGGAACTAAAATTATTTTAGTGTTGAATAGGCCATTTATCGAGGAAGGCTAGAGGCTATATAACATCACGCTACGACCAAAACAAACCAATCGGCAGGAGCCGAGCATTAGTGAAAAATGTTTGCAAAAACATGGAAAATTTGTTCCTTTTGAGCGACGTAGTCGAAGTTGCAAGGGTTAGCTGGTACTTTTATATCAGTCAGTAGGTTTATTGTCTGTCTCTTTTCTCAATGTTTAATATTTTATTAGTTTAATTTTTCAGTTAATGTTTAATATGAATGCTATTAACCATTAATTGAAAAATTAAATTTCATATCTACATCATTCAAAGTTTATTGATTTTGTAAATATTACTTGTATTTTGTTGTTGTTAAAGTTTTTCATCTTATTCATTGCTTAATGCATGTAGACACCATATTGATACAGGAACAAATAATTATATGTATGTTAAAAGTTAAGACCCATCAATCATAGTAATTATGTAATGTTATCAAATATGTTATAATTTACAGCCGAATCGAGTCAAAAGCACGAGGCTGTGTCGAATCGCGATCATAAATCAAACACACACACACACATACACCTAATTAAGTAGACGATGTTGTGACCACACACATAGGCTCGTGTAATTACACAAATGTGATGCTGTTCAACTCTGAAGTCGTTTGAAGCCAATCAACATACATAACTATAGCTGTGATAAGATCAGATCAGATTTTTTGTAAAATTGTCGATTGTGCAAACATTGCGCTTATTTTTTGCTAATTCACATATGATATCGCAAATAGCTTCGTTCGACTTAATGCAGTCCTATTACTGTAAACATCGTAGCATATTTGACAGGTTTATTTTTACAATAATTGGCTTAAATATATTGCTCTTTCAATATTTAATTAATAATTATAGTCCGAATAAATCTTTAGGTAAGTACTTTATGATTTATGGTTATTTGCTTTAGACGTGCTGTTCTACAGACATCCGGAATTGAATGGCTGTAATTATATTTACAAGGCTTTTAATTCGATATATTATTTATAACATTCAGATAGTAGTACATGGTCCAACACGAGTTGGCCGGCTCGGTCGGAGTGATACTACGGCTTCACAGAAAACCAATGTTAAGCTATTATTTCGCTGCTTTTCACCGACTGAGTAATGTATCCTGGGTAAGGGGCGGCCACGACCTTGTGATTTTTGAGTTGCAAGCGTCCATGGGCGGCGGTAGACATCATGTTTGAATGGTAATGTGTAATTGTCCCGCACTAGGAATAATCCTGTGTCGCGGGGGACTTTACAAACATATATGAAACGCACACAAAGGACACCCAGACTCGGAACAATAATTTGTTTATCACATAAAGTGTTGCCCCATGTGGGCCTCGAACCCACAACACTCAGCACAGTAGGAACTGGCTGGGTGACCGCCTACGCCATTCATGCAATCAACCACCATGTTCCTTCCGGTTTACACTTATGTTACTGAAATCTGGATTATCCAAAGAAATACTGCATAGGTTTTACGTGGCCCAGCGTGCACTGGGGAGAAAACTAGTGAGAATCACATTGTACCATAACACCAATGAGGCTGAGACAGCAGAGCAAGGATACGGATGCCACTAAACGTGTGATCAGGCTCAAGTGGGAGTGGGCGGGTCATATGGCACGCATGACCACTTTTTGGAGCAAGCGGTTACTCGAGTGGTGACAATGGGATCAAAAACTTTCGCCAGGAAGACCACAGATGCGTTGGGATGATGATATCAAGAGGACAATAGAAAAAATGTTTGTCCAGATCGCGATGAGTGGCCTACATTGAAGGAGCCTTACACCCTTATGGGGTCGTGACAGGCTAAAGAGAAAGAGAGAGTGGCACGGAGACAGACACAAATCAGGGTTAGAAACAAAAAAGTACCCAAACAATTGATAAGTTGTTGTTAGATTGCTCTGATGTCTACTTGGGTTAGTTAGTTATACTTCTAAATTTGATTTATTTCGTAATTTAAAACGTAAATTATAAACCAAGAATAAGTGCTAATGCTTTTATTCTCTATTTTCTATGAAAGATAGTAATATTGTATATTTAAGAAAAATTCAAATTCAAAAAAAACAGTAATTTTCTATAAATGAAGACGTAACGATATTCTTGACTGTAAAACTTTATATTACCCAAACTAGTTACTTTTTATTTAGGTACGAAAGAAGTAAACGACTCGAGTATAAATTCACTCTTAAAAGCAATCCTCGCTATCAAAATTTCCCTTTACATTTTCATCTCCTTTCATGCTATCATTATAAAGAAGAAATATCGCTTTATCTGTCACCAAAGACTATACACTCACAACGCTAGACCTGTCATTATAATTGTCAACCATTGTCATGAGATAAATTTTGCGTGTATTTTTCAAGTTGTTTATAAATAAAATCACAAAAAATCTACTGAAGCATTCAAACAAATCTTGTAGACGATGTGAACCTTCAAAAGGATCTGTATACGAATTGTGGCTAGTGTAGCCGCATGGTGATTCGTATGTAAGTATAAAAATAATACAGTGGTAGAATATCTTACGATTCATCATCATCATCAACGGCCTTTAATAGTCCAATGCTGGACATAAGCCTCTCCTTAGAAAGGAGGTTTTGGCCTAAACTTATGCTTGGTTCATGGTTATTTCTTAATACGTACCAATGCAAAGCCATCATCTCAGAATGGCTCTTAAAGCAATCATATAAAGAGACGGAGGACCTATTAATGATCTTACAGTGACACACTGGCGCATCCATTCCATATCAAACACTAACACATGCATTGTACATAAATCTTAAAGAAACTGGTGTGCGCACATATGTAAGTCTAGTGGATGTCATATGACTGATCCGATCCCAAGACCATGTCGTAGGGCTTGTAGACATAGCGCATATACTCCTTCACAACTCCAATCTCACTACAAACACAAACATACATAAACACACACACACACACACACACACACACACACCCTGTTTTTGTTAATGTTACAATTATTACTACTCCCTTTCGTTTCTTTTTCTTAAATTTTGTACTCTTGCACAACCATATTGAAACCACCTCACAAAAGTATTTTGAAATGTCAAGACGAGGTCCGAGTGGGGACCTGGTGTCCTGTAACACAGGTTTTTATACCTACCTCAGGTACCAGCTATCCACTACCGAAATTGTCAAATGTTATAGCGTAATCGTATTTTCATTGTATGCATTTTGGTTTTGGTGAGAAAATAAACGATATTATTATTATTATTATTTAAAATATACATACGTGAACTCACGACTGTGTTTTCCGGATGTTAAGTTAGTTTCAATCCCGGAACGAAGTCATTACTAAGTAAAACGACCTGAGGCCCAGTGGGGCGAACTACATCTTAAATCTTTTATTACATATGCGGTCGGACTTGCGCCTTATAGAGTTGGAGGCGATGGGCTGGAGTGAAATATTGCCTCAATCTGTTCAACACTCGGTGTGTTAAAAGATGAAATTGGGTAGTATGTTGGTACGCTCTTTTCGTGATAGCACACCTAAGTGCCTAAGCACTACTCTCCCAGAGTATGTTTTGACTGGATTATAAGCAAATAAAAAATTTAAAAACCACCGATACCCCTCTTAAATTTGAAATTTGTCATAGTGTGTTCTACTAGTCAAGCCCTTTCATTTAATACCCATGTTAAGGGAGTGGTGAAAAAATATGTAATGCGCCATTTTGTGGCGACGACCATCTTGGACAGATTGTCATAAAACATAGCTAATAACGCTTCCGACTAATTCACCTTTCAAACACACAAAATCAAAATCGGTTCATCCATTCGAGAACTACGATGCCACACACAGACGCGTCGAACTTATAACACTCCGTCGTTTTTGCGTCGGGGGTTAAGAAATGATAATAATTTGTACAAAGTTTATGGTTTTGTATAGCTACCATAATGCCCTTTGGAACATGAATTATTAGATGATCGATTGACTTCCTATGTGTGTTTATTGATGGTATTCTGTTTGTTTCAGGGGTTAAATTTCACGCGAGGTGGTGGAAGCGAGCTCGGCTGTCAGGATGTGTATCTTTGCGACTATTATGTTGGTAGTGCCTGCCTGCACTTTGCTGCTACTGGCGTGTCTTGTGTACGTCACTACTTGTATCACACTTACGTTAAACCATAATTGGGTTTCTCTCTGTTCTTCTGTTGATTACATGGTTACAAAGATGATTACAAACACGGCGTGGAAACAGTCAGCTCTTTCGTGTTTCTGTGGTCTATTATTTTCCAGTTCTCTTGGTATGGTATAGTGCCTAGACAGACACAGACTAGTGATACAAAATAGTTTCCAGATGTTGTGATTTAGCCCACATTCAATTGCATTTACACTTTATTCTATCACGACAGGTATTGCTGCCTGGACGAGCATTCGCAGGGTCGGTAAGGTTACTACAGAAGTATTAAACTCGACAAATTCGCCACCACCGTTGCCACATTATGCTGGACTGATAATAATAAAATTGTTTAAGAATATTTTTTCATTTCGACAGCCCTTACTCCATTAGTTAATAGCAGCTGTTAAGAATTCTTATATATCTCGGGGATGATATTCAGAAACGGGATTTGGTTGTGAAATAAATCTAAGTTATATGTATAACTGCAAATTATTTGCATAATGTAATGGTGTCTCAATTTAAGAAATAACCAAACCAAAGATTGTAGGCTATAAACTCGAGTCCATCAAATATTTCCTTTTGCCAATATAATGGTTTCTTGTGCAAAGAGCCACTAGCGCGCGCAGCCCCAAAATATTATTGTTTGAAGCGCTCATAAAATTAAATTGGAACAAAATATATAGCGCTTGAATTATATAGAGCCAATAAATGGTGGTCATAAGTAATATATTTTCATATTAACGTTCTCGAAGAGTTCTAATTTGGAATATGTCATAGAAAATTTCTGGAAATAGAAGCTTTAAATTTACGAAAATTACTTACTAGAAATTACTTAATCTGTTCACTCAAAAGATTTGTATCTTACTTTCCTTGTGTATACTTCATTAGGTATGTTGTGTATGTATTGAGCCGTAGTAAACATATATTAGGGCTCGCTGTGGTATACCATAATAATATTTTCATTCCCATTCCATACACAGCAATCAGACGGTTGTTCAATTGATGTAATAATACATCTAGTTACGAGTAAGTGGATACAGTTATAAAAATATACAAACAGTCAATCGTGAAGAAGCCTTCATGATAAGTGCAGTCACCTTTACGTGAGAAGGTCATTCGATTGCGTGAGCAGTTTCGTTTACTTACCAAATACGTCACAGTGTCCATTGCGTATAGAAATTTTTGATAAAATTAAATATAAATATAGGTATCTCGCATATTTTACACAAGGCCGTCTGATCCCAAACTAGGCAGAGCCTGTACTATGGTGACCAGACTGCTGATAAACATACTCATATATTTTTAAATAGATACATATTATAGATAAATTACACCCAGGCATAGAACAAATGACCATGCTCATCATACAATATTTGTTTTTGGTGGGAATCGAACCCACGACCTCCGGTTTAGCAGTCAGGGTCACTAACCACTAGACCAACAGGTTTGTAAGTATCTTTTCACATGTTATAACACAAACCAAAGAAATAAAGGGATTGCAGTACTTTAAATAGAAAACAATTTTTTAAATCATTTTCATGACTTTTATTTGTAATAGTTTGGAGTACTGAAGTACTTAATATCAGCTATTGTTAGCAGTATCTGAATTTGTTCAAGTATTCTTTGACGCAGGTGCATATGTGTCGAAGCATAAAGCCATGCTTTTAGTAGTTTGTTGGGACATGGCATTTTGGAAGAACGTGGTTAATTTATAACACACAATAATAGTTTGCTAAGTCCATGAAAATCCATATGATTGTAAATATACATCAGTATTGAGATATATTTTTTTGAAACGTGATGCTAGTTCTACAACAACCTATGTGGTGTGGCAGAGCAATCCTTTGCAAAGGCATAAATTGTGGTCCCATTCAATTCAAATATTCTATTGATACTCGAATGCCTTTTAAGATTAGTCTGGGCTTCTTATAGGTATGTCTAACTAACAAAACTGTTTATTTCACTAAAAAACGGGGTCAATACAAAAAGAAAATGTGATATACATGTATGTCAACACACATCTGGCATGTAGGTAACCCCAACCTCTCTATCTCTAAAATTGAATGAATTCGTATCTTAAAAATATTAGAAGGAATGATTTTAGCATATGAATGACAAACTCTTAAAATGAGCTATTATACACATAATTATTATATAGTAAGTTTAACAGTCGCTATAATAACAGGCGGTAGTCACTTTCTCCATGGAGGACTCCATGTAAGTCCTGAAATACAGGTCTTGACTTAATTTAGGTTCCACTCCACCCCAAAGTACAACTTTTACAACAACTTTTTTGTTGTGGAAACAAATACATTTTTATTTTTTAACATAGAACCGATCATCAGGAAAATGAAATAAAATAATAATTTTCCAACTTATATACATTTACTTTTTAATTAATTCAACATAACAGCACACCAGCGACGAAACTCAGTGGAACAACGACATTCGCTTCAATTACTCAAAAGAAGCGTTTACGTTTGTTGCAACAACAGGTGAACCTGGAGGAAGTTAGGTTAAATTATAGACAAACACGTTACTACTTGATACCTTGATAGGTGGTACCTTGCTAAATCATTCGTAGAAAAGTTACGAGTATAATCGTGGGCAGGTGCTCGTACGCGTGATTTAGAGATAAACAAATGATTTCACTTCCCTATTAGTTCTCATACGGCTAGTTGATGGTTGGTACGATTAGTAAGATGTAATTTACTATTAGACTAGCTGGTACCCGCGATTTCGTTTGCGTGGAATCTGAAATGCGCTGCCTTAGTTGTGTCGTAACGACTGCATTTTATGTTTATAAGGCCTCGGGTTATACTTGGGCTTGGATCTATAGAAAAGTCCCGACAGGCAATTGAACATATCACTTGGGTCAAATGCAGACCTAAGAACCAAAATGTATTGAATATAGGATCGAGCGTTGCCTATACTATAAATGTCCAATGCTGACCTACACTGAACTGTCAAAGGACCAAAATTTACTGTTGATTTGAAGCCATTCTCCTTTCATCGCTTATAAAAATCTTATTTTGAAGATTCTCATAACTAAAGTAGCATAAACATAAAGAGAAACGTACACCAACAAAAGCACGGCAACCACGACGACTGTGTTCATGCAAACCATGATTTCTGAACATCAAGCTGGCAATTTTGGGTTGAAAACAAGTTAGTGTATGTACAGCGGGTCTGAAAATAATAATAATTGCGTTTTACGAAATGATAGCAATGCAGGACACAGGTATATGTAATAGAACCTAGTCTACACGAAGCACTGTAAATCCTTGAACAAAAAAGCTTGCACTTACCTAGCGGAATCATAAAAGTATTTGTTCCACAACCCGCATGCCAAATGCATGAATCAAATGAGAATTAACATTTTTATGATATTTAGTATGCCCCGGATGTATATTTTTTTATATTTTTAGTATAAAAGTTTTTTTTAAAGTTAACGACAAATTTAACAAATCGAATTTTTCACATCAAATTTTGATAGATGATAAATTTGACACGTTTTTGTCAGCCCGATGACACTTGAATAGTTTGGAGGACAAGTACTGACTGCCAGTTTCATTTTAGTACTTGTTTGTTTGGTACATTAAATATCAATTTAATACAATCAATATCGAATTTTATAACAATACAGATAAGGATAAGAATACAGACAAGGATGTAGAGTAACTTCTATCAAGAAAAAGGTTCTGTTTGTAATGAATGTAAAGAGCTAAGGTTTTACTGCTGCAAAATAATTAGATTGGGAATAGATAAAGAAGAATAGCGTAGAAAACATAACGAGTATCTTTGGTTTCGTAGTTTGTTGGACATATTAACAAATATCTTTTTGTTTTTGTTATTAGTAACCAGTAAAAATTACAAAGCATATTAAATACCTAATTGGTGTTTTCATACTCTACCTACTATACCATCCCGTCTGGCCAGCGTGGTATAGTAGGCCAAAACCCCCTTCAAATCTGTCAATCTGTCTTGAACATATGATAACACAGTGTTCTGTCATGAGGACCATCACATTGATTGAGATCATCTGTAACTGTGTCCTTACCAAAGATATCAATGTATTACTTTTTCAATTGATTGCCTTTTTATTTTTCTGGCTAACTTTCTATTAAAGCAATAACAAGTTCGTGGGAGCTGCACATAAGTCTTTCAAATTTAATTTTTATTAACAAAATCATATACTTAGATGAAACTGTGTCTTTAGAAAAATCGTGAGCAATTTGGGTCAGTTATTTAGGACATGATTTGGTATAAATGCTTCGGTAAATGAGATAAACAAAAATAAGAGGAAAATAATTACAATACTAATCTACTACTTCTTGTAATAAAATTCATAATAATTAGAATAGACATTTTATTTAAATTCTAATTTAAGCCTTGATCATCAGCTTAACATGATGCGGCATATAACCGTTATGGGATTCGAGAGTGGTATCACCCGTACTCGTTAACTGAAAATCATTAATTTACACGATAGCTAAACAAATTTACATAATTCGTGTGCAGGACATTTAAATACAACTCAAATTGGAGAGCTAAAAACTTAGGTGACAGTTTTCACATTGTGATCTACCTGATTCATAATGAAGCTTGGACACAAAAAGGTTTGATCTTGACATTTCCGAGGCGTGCAATTATTATTGCCGTCTTCAGGTAGCTCATAAAGCCTCAGATAGACCTAGTACAATCTTCAACAGGATCAGCATCATGCACATAGTATTTGAAACAGACAGGGACGCAGCCGATCATTAGAAACATCAGCAGGCCAAGTGTATTGAGACACAACATTCTGTTATGTTGAATAAAATTCTAAGATCATCTTCGGTGGTGCAAATATTATGGCATAAATATTGGTTTAAAGTCTTGCTAAGTTCATCTACTAGTTCTAGTTCTCTTGTTCCAGTATGCACAATAACATTATTTCTTGCGTTTATTTTATATATGCATCCTGTATTCCCTCACAAAATGCAGGTTTATCCTTTACTTTAGAAACATTGTAAAATTTAGATATTTTGGCAGTTTAACACTGTATGGTCACAACAAGTATTTAGCACATTTAGTACAAAACAACAGTATATTTCATATTTTGCGTTTCACGTTTAATTTCTTTATATACAATTTTTAGATTACGAACTTGAAATTTTTATTAATGGCTTTGCGGATAGATTGTCATTATGATAGGGACATTAGCGTGTATGACAGCGTCATGTGCCTGTTTTTTCCAAAAAATCCGTGGTTTAAGAAAGAAAAGGTGGGTAAAGAAGTGTGGCGACT